CCCCAAAACCCCAAAACCCCAAAACCCCTGGAGCTTAATTTTTCTAAATCAAATATCTAATCAAAATAAAATCATTATATTCTAAAAATTAAATGCAGATTGTTTGCAACACTTTAATCAATGAAATTAATCCATAATCATTGAATGAATTCAGTGAATTCCATTCTAGGTGGGTGATCGCAAACAGCGTTAGCCAACTCAGTAGCAGCACCTCCAATGTTAGAGATTATGCCTGGAATATCAGCAGCACCAGTAGTTGCTGCTACTGCTATTTCAACAGCAGCCATGACTAAATCTTTTACAATGTGTTCAACACCTCCTGAACATTGATCTGCTGTGTCTGTGCAGAGAGCACCACAGGAGTATTTACCAGCTGGGCAATCTTACCAGCAGACAGGACCGTTTCCGTGATAACCTGGATTGCATTGTGGGTAGCAAAGTGCTCCAGATTCTTCAAGTCCCTTAGCACAGCCAAGTACCTCTCCGAAACCTCTTCCATATGTATCTTTTTAGCATGATACTCCAATATCAGTGAAGCCTTGTGGGCAATTAGGCGAACAAATACAGCAAGCAGCATTGTGGAAGTTAGCTTTGCATTTTGGATAATAAAGAGCTCCCCATTTCTCGCAACCTTGTGGATTTTCCTGCTGACATTTGCTCTCATGCCAGAGTGCATAACCAACTCCTCTACCATATGATGATGGTTTAAGGCAATCTATTCCAGTGTCTGTAAATCCATCTACACAATGTTACCAGCATACAGGGCCAACACCATAGTAACCATCTCTACAGTATGGATAGCATAGTGCACCATCTTTTTGTAAGCCATCTCTGCAAGTTGTAATGACTTGACCAGCACCTCTTCCATAGGCATCTTACCAGCAATTGCTAGCAGTCACGGTGGCTGTTGTCGCAATGATGGTGAAAATCAAACTTGAACCCCTCATAATCCTAATTAAGATTTAATTATTATAACTTTGTAAAAATAAATCCATTTTATTTAATACCTATCTGCTTTGTTATTTAGTTAGCGGGGTTTTGGGGTTTTGGGG